TAAGAGGAATAAGTATCTAGTAGTACCTTAAGAATAAAATATAACAAACCAAAGGTATTTATATATAAAGGTATTTATATAAATATTTATTGATATTCATTAAGTAGTTTTTACAATCATCACGAAAATATTATTAACAAAGTGAGGCTAGAGTGCGAGAGAAATTTTGAACACTTGTAGCAGTCTATTAGAATTGTGACAGGGAAATCTGTCAGGAGACGTTCCTCGATGTCGCACGACTCAAATATTCAAAATAAAATATAAAATTAACTAACTTATGTCTACACGTTGTCTTAAGTAGTGCCTTGTTTGTAGCTCCTAGATAACGACAAATTCGACAACCGACGATAAAGAGAGGCTATCCAAATAAAACTAGGGAATAAGAGCATTTCGTCAAATAGTAAAAGAATTGCGCTTTCAACATCGAACATTGCAAACCCTTATACATTTTGATTATAAACAAAAATGGATTTAAACTATTTTAAAAATAAACGGCTCATATATTTTTTTAGGGAAAACGTAACTGGTGCCAAACTATTCATTTCTGATTTAAATAAACAAATTTTATTAACGTCTAAACCTTGAGCTCTGACAGTCACTTGACCCAGGCCCCACCAGGTGAAGGAAAAAACTCTTTTAGTCTTGAACAAAAGAAAAATTCCTGTCTCAGTATATTTAAGTAATTAAGACTATTTCTAATTAAAAAAACCCGATTTCAAACACAGCTATCGGTAATGTCTTTAAGATAAATGAGAGACTAATACTATCTCCAAGTGATAACTCGAGCTCACAGACGGCTATCGGTGGAAGGGCTTCCATTCGTCGAAGAGGCAAGCGGATTCCTTTCAGCGGAAGATATCGGTGTTGTTTTGTTCACTATCGGCCCCTAGTTCTTTTAAGATAACCTCGCATAAGGGGTGAGATGCAGTCAGAGACGTGAAAAAAGGAAAAATTTTTATAATTTTTTTTTATATTAATAAGGTTTTTGTTTTATACAATTGATTAAACAGAGTTTTTATATTTTGTTTTAACTTGACTTCTATAAAATTTCCAAAAAGAAATATTATTTATTTATAAAAATATATATATGGCCATCTTTTTGTTAGACCCGATTTCGCAAGTAGTGTTTCGCGGTGACCATTAGAACATCTTACTTGGATAAATTAAAATAAAAAAAAAATAAAAATCATTAGTATAATAATAAATCTTTTCCTTCATTGAAGCTTTTTTATTTTTTTCTGAAATTAACAATATGGCGGCTTTTGGCATATTTTTCTATGTTTTTTGACCAAAAAATCATGAATCTATTGTGAAAAAGAATAAAAATTTTGTACATAAAAGAAAATCTTTTGGTGAAAAACTAGTTTTTAGTGCTATTATTAAGTAGTAAAAATTTCATCAAAATCCATTGAGTGGTTATTGAATTATAGTGGTCACCGACTTGAACAACATAACTTCGAGAAAAACGCATTTAAAGTTTTTTTATTTGGATACGGTATTACATTTTCGTAAAGTTTTGAGCTCGAGGGATGAAGCTAAACTTTTGTTATGTATTTTGATCCGCTTAATCCGAATATCACAATTCTTTGCCTAAAAGTCATGCATTTAATTTTTTATAGTCAATTGTTTAAACAATTTTTCAAAATGTTATAGAGATAGTTTTTCAGGATAAATTAATTTTTTTTTTATATTTTGGGTAATTACAAAACGAAAGTATTTTTTACAAAATCTTTCAAAGGCTCATAGTTTATTAGTTAAGAGTTTTCCAATTTTACACTGAATTTATGTAATTATAGAAATACTAATTAAATAATTACTTACATTATTACAAGGAATGTTATCGTTAACATAGTTATTACTTGATACCACCATTTTAAATTCCAGACTACGTGTGCTGGCTGTCTGCAATTCACATCCCTATTACACTTTTTGCACTCTACTAGATTTGAATTGACCGTAATATAGAAAAAAATTTTATTATTCTATATTTAACACGACTATCTTCAGGTAAATTATCTTCTATGTCACATTTTAATTTTTTAGCTGATGAACTTGTAACACTTCCATCACGTTTCACTGCTTTCGGATTGAAAACATTTTGTCTTTTAACGGTATGCGACTTACGAAGATTAGCCTGTTTAATATGGTCCCCGCATAAAATAAAATATATCCAAGTAATTAAGAGAACACAAAATAAACTTTTGTCATTTATATCAAGTGCATTTAGTCTCCTCTTACGTATAAGTCTAATCGCAAGTATGACCTTTTACTCTACAGGATAAATATGTTATCATTGTAAGACTGGAGGAATCTAACAGATATATTTTTCTTGTTTAAAATTATCAATTAAATTTTTTTTTTTTATTAACTTCATACTTCTTTTTAATTTAAATTGTTATTGGTATAAGTGGAAAAAGATAGTACGTGGACGGTTTCTTCAATGAGATTGCGTCGATCTTGTCATTTATTTCGGCTAGAATTTTACTGGTCTGTTGAATCTTTTCGCTGTTTTCCAGGGAGAATAGTTAGTATGATTGTCCTTTAATTGGTTTAATGTGTACTCATCTTTAGCTATTTCTTTCAGTAGTTCAATTAGCGGTGCAATGACCTGAGCTTCTATATGTATTGGTGGGGGTTTCAGCTGTGGAGTTATCCTATCCGTTGTAACTTCCCTGGAAGTTCTTCTACTTTTTGTAGTTTGCTAAATTTGTTGCTCACTAGTATTTTGCTTAGCCATTTCTTCTATGGTTCGTCCTAGATCATATAGAAATAGGTAACTATTTGATGGATTGAATTTACATTTCTTAGTAGCGTCATCTCTTCTGTTAAAATCATCAGTATCTATATACCCTGACGTTGTTTTCAGTCTCCGAACTTTCAGTTGATTGTTAATGGCATAATTTTTACCATATCTTATTAAGTTTAGCTTTAAATTTAAGTTTTGTTCCATTATGGATTCAAACCTGACGTAACGGCAAGTTTGTTCATCTCACACTACCACTAACTGCCGAAGTATACACAGATTAACAATACGGGTATATCTATTTGTTCTTCTAACTTATTATTGCTTTTAGTAAATACGTCTTATTGCTCCGAGTGCTTAATAGCTAATCTATCAATGAGATAAAATCGAAAGTACAACATTATAACAACTTGTTTAATTTAATGCTAGCTCACGTCCCTTATGTCAAACTTCGATCTTCTTTGTTTTTGTTTATTATAGCAATCTCAGAATTATTGCCCCATTACAAGAATATGTAATTAAGCAAGCTCAGTATCGGACAAAATTAATCATTTTGCAGGATCTGAATATTTGTTAAAACAATGATTACAAAGTTTACACGTGATTAATTACCAATTTCAACGAACTCCTAATTGCTGATTCAAACGCTTAAGTTAATACTGTTCGGGTTATTTAACCCTTGGGAAGGAATTTGTACTTCGTGCCGCAGCGCTTCAATAAATAATAAACAACGTAAGCAAAGTTGTTCATTTTATAATTTCATTACTATAGGCAAACATTTCTGCAAGAAAAAGTTTGTGTTAAATTTGAAAGCAAATCATAATGAGAGTAACAAGAGTGATCGACCTTCCTCTACCATGTTTATTTAGATTGACATTCAAATAAAAAAACCAGCACGTAGCTTAATATCAGCGTAACATTTTAATTTTAAAAATTGCAAATAGTATTCTGAATGCGAAAATAAAAAGTTGTTCATTGTTTTGGCCTCCGAATCAAGCCCAAGACGATATAATATTAAGTTGTTTATTTCAGACTTATATAGATAAGAAAGTTGTCATTTATTTTAAATTATAAAGTTTTCTTCAATAAAAAGTAATATTTCGAAAAAATAGTAGATAGAAATTATTAATGATTAAAGCCGTGAGTAGGCAAAATATGCAATAGTTTTAAAGCGGGAATAAGTGAGATAGGGGTGGATAAGTGAATCATTCTACACCAATCTTCGCGGTAAAAGACAGCTTGCCTCGGTACTTATCTTCTGATAACAGCTATCGAGTCGAATACAATAATGTGCAACACTAAGATCCTTGGAGGTTAACGAAGATCAAATCTGGCGAAGCAACCAGCAACGATACAGCTTCTCCGCGTCACGCTTGCGTCATTCGTGCGTTAGGGTTGCTTTATCCTTTAATTGTCCGGCAAAGAACGGAACAATTAGACATAGTCAGGTTTGATGAATACGTCGTGTTTAATAAATACTTACTATATTTAATATTTCACATCGTTGGATTCGCCACGACAGCCGTTATTAGCAAATAAGTATCAAAACATAGCATTCTATTAAAAAAAAACAAACTTGACCTATAAATCTCGGAAGAAACTACACCTAGCAAACAAAAACTAAAATCATATTACAACCCCCATTTTTCCTTGCAACTTTCGTTCTATGAACTTTTCTACTACTATCATATTTTCGGAGCTATCTTGGTGGCAAAACTTAGTGACTCACTAAGTACATAATCCACCGTCTACCTCCACCTTACTCTATGTCTTTTCTTATTGTTTATATTTAGACAGCAATTTATTATTTTACTTATTTTTCTAATTCTTTTATCTGTCGCGATAGGGATAAATGGCTGCTTGAACTTTGAACAAAATTTGTAAATATAGGGCTTTATATTTGTAAAATGGTAACGTTCGTAACAATATTTGATGTGTTATAGCTTTTATTTAACTTTTTCGCCTAGTTTTATGTAGTCCAACATATTTAAATGGATTCTTATCTAAAAAACTGGATATATCTAGCAATATAATTTAATAATTTAACTTCCTGTACCCGTAATTTTGTTTAGAAATAATGGTTCTCATAAATATACTAAATTAATATTTATAAATTAATACTATGTTAACGGGACCCGTCAAATTGACGGGTACGCTTATCTCGAAAATAATTCTTATATTTTTTTTTCGTTCGCCACATTATTCATCCAGTAAGAAATACAGTATGATCTAATGAAGATGCGAAATTGGTGGTTACATGATACCCTCACGCACAGGTTAGAACCTATGAACTAGTGAACCTTTCGGCTACCGCTCGATGTGAAGGCTGTAGAAAAGTTCGCTAATACCATAGGCCCTAGTCTGGACCTCCGAGAAAGAAAGGATTCCTCCGAAGAAAATGATTGTGAATTAGACGAAAGCGAACCTGGCAATGAAACTACACAATGTTTTGAAAGTGGAGGGACAGAAATATCTTCAGATAGTGAAGAGAAGAATTTATTTACAGTGCGTCGGAACAAGAAGAAAATGCGTATTCTTTCTAGCTCTGACTCTGAAGATGAGAGGAGGAGCTTTCCCAGGACATCCCAAAATGTAGCGGGTGATATCGAAATTGAAGCTGACGGGACACAGTGGACAAAACTGAAATCAGGCGGATGTAGAGGTAGGACGACCATCCGGATGATTTTCAAGGATATCGGAGGGCCTATTGCCCATGCTAAAAGAATGCAATTTTATAATTGACAAACATATAATGTAACACATAAAAGATTGCACTGAAGCCGAGGTACGTCGCGTCTTGAAAACAGACTAGACAATCACAATTGCGGAATAACGTAGTTTTATAGGAGTTCTGTATGCTCAGGGCGCATATGTTGCGAGATCGTACAGGTGTACAAATAGAAGACAACCACAAACGTCTTCCAGAAACTACATCATATTATAATATTACGAAGCACGGAGTGGACTTCGTTGACCAGATGGCACGCAAATATAGCGTAAAAGCAGGCAATTTCCGATGGCCTTTTCAAATCTTTTTCAATATACTAGATTTGGCAGCAATAAACGCGTGAATACTATATAAATCATGCACCAGAGCAACGATATCCAAGAAACAATAAATGTTTTGTTTGGCCGAGAAATTAGGAGCGGAAAACGAAAACATTTACCTACGATCTGAAGCTTCTTCATCATGTATAATACTACAACAGCGGAAAAGTTTTCAAGTAGGCTACTGCAACGAAAATAAAAGCAGCAATTTTTGCATATCTTGAAAAAAGTGATATGCAAAAAATGCACAGGCAAAGTGCAATAAACATGTAAAAAATGTACTCAATAAGTAAGATTACCCGTTAGTATTATTGTTATTATATTCATGATATTTTTTTAAGGACTTTTTATTTCTTGATACTTTATTTAAACGTAAAGCATAATATTGTGCAATTTTTAGTTAACTTGAATAAATCGGTTTTTTAAAGAAAGTGCGTATTCACCCGTCCGTAGACCTAATGTTAAATAAAAAACGAAAAGATAAAATAATCTGTTTACGTACATTTTTTCTTTTAGTGATAACTACTTTGTAGTAAATAAACTCTTGCTACTACACGTTCAAGCCAATTTCGTTATCTTTCTTCGTTATTTTAATTAACTATGTCTCATCCATTTAGCAAATTAATAACTATCAGCAAAAAATTATCTTCCTATTCGTACATGGTAATAAAATCTCGGATTTTTCAATATTATCATTTCTTCAACGGAAGTCGTTCATTTAACATTCCAGCAATCTAACGATTAAATGAATTTCTTCTAAGTGCGCGAGAGATTATATCTTTTATATATATATTTATATATATATATAAATCACAAAAAATAATAATCCTGTAGGAGAGAGTAAAGTTAAATCATTTTTTTTTCCCATTTAATTATTATATATTGCTCACGTATACGTATGTTCTTACAATTAATAAAAAGAAAAACAAACAATAAAACAAATAATTCATGTATTTTCAAAAACTATAAAAATTCTAGTTTTTATTTAGATCTATGACAAAATTTTTTACATAGTTTTATCCTTAACAACAATAACTAGTAGGTAACATTTCTCTTGCTGCATTTATAAATAATTATTCTAATGTTGCCTATTTTCCAGATATAACCATGCTCGCTATCTTGTTGGGTTTGATTTTATTTCTATTTGCATTACATTGTGTTATAAGATATAGAAGAATGGGAAGACTTTTAAATTTTATTCCAGGCCCTCACGAATATCCGATAGTTGGAAATATGTATCATTTTCAAGTTGAAAATGGTGTGTGTGTAAGGAATATTAAAATATTGTTATTTAGGAATTATACTCAGGAAATTATAATAAGCAATAAAAAATAATTATTATAATTAGGAAATACTATAATAAAATAATATTTTATTACCAATAATATAGAACATTTACTTCAGCAACTGTGGAAATTAAGTAATGAGTATTACCCAATTTTCAAAATATGGAGCTTCTTTATTTCTACAGTATTTTTACTCGATCCAGATAATATGCAGGTAAAGTTTATTATAAAATAAATACAAAATAAATTATTTTTTACTTTATTTTAACTTTTTGGAAAGTATAGAAAAGTTAAATGTGTGAAATTTTATTCTTTACAAATAATACATAGTCGAATATTCTTTAAACCAGCACGAAAATTTAATATTACTTTAGCAAAGCATGGCAGGATTATATATGTACCTTATTACAGCTACGTTTTTAAGAGTTTATTTTTAATTTTCCCTAATATATTTTATATACCATAAAGTCAAACATTAAACGTAAATTGAAAAATCAATTTACGTGCTTAAAAAAATATGAATTTTCGTCGTAGGAATTATTGAAGAGCAAAGAATATATTGAAAAAGGAGTCTTTTACAAATATCTTAGGCCCTGGCTTTCTTCTGGATTACTAATAAGCGGCGGTAAGCAATTTAAATGAACAAAAATAATCATTTTACTATATATAGAACATTGAGTATACTAAATAATATAATTATTTTTCTTTTTTTTATTGACTCCGCATACATCTTTTTACAATTTGTGCGTAGACATTTGGTAAATTGTTATATAAGTGAACAAAGATAGTACGTTGACGGTTTTTCCAATGAGATAGCGTCGCAATTGTCATTTAATTTGGTAAGGTTTAATTTTTACTAGGTCTTTTGGGTGAATTCTTGTGAGCCTTCTAAAGATATATTAGTGTAGTTATCGTTGTGTGTGTGTGTGTGTGTGTGTGTGTGTATGGCTAGCGGGCTTATGCGCGTATCAATTCTTCTTTTGTATATGCATGTTGTCTAGGTTATTTTTTCTTCTATCGTAGAAATATTTAAGTCCTTTCTTATCTCTTCGTTACGGATGTACCATGAAGCATTCACGATTGTGAGTAGGGTTATGGATTGTTGAGGCTCGAGCTTGGCAATGTGACTTTTCGCTGCTATACCCCATAGCGGTATTCCATAGGTCCAGATTGCTTTTATTATTATTTTGTGGATTATTAGTTTGTTCTCTATGCTAAGTTTAGATTTTTTACCAGTTAGTCAAGCCATTTGTCTCCTTTTTAAACGAATTTTTTCAACTTTGGCATTTATATTTTCCATGTTAGTTTGGAATCTAGGTGTAGTCCCAAATACTTGACCGTCGTTACTTACGGAATTTCTGTATTATATAGTTGTTGTTTCGGTATTTGGTTTTCCCTCAGTGTAAATGTGATATGTTTACACTTGGTAAGGTTTACCTAGATCTTCCTATTACGTAACCCTTCTTCAAGAGAGTTGATTTGTTTTTGTAACAATTGAATTGCTTGTTGCGGGTCCTTGACGATGGTAAGCATTGCTGTGTCATTTGCAAATGTTAAAATTATGCGGTTTTCGTTTACTGGTATGTCTGCCGTATAAAGTGTGCCGAGAATTGGTCCGAGAATACTTCCCTGCGGAACTCTAGTTTTGATTAGTCTGATGTTCGAATGAGTTGCTTTTAGTTTTACATAGAATTTTCTGTCGGAAAGGTAAGATTTTAGGAGTTTGTAATACGAGTGTGGAAAGTGTTTATTGATTGTTTGTAATAATCTATGATACCACACTTTATCGAAAGCTTTTTCTATATTTATTAAGACAGCAGAACAGTACTCTTTATTTTATAAAGCTGTAATTATCGTATTAGTTAGTTTGTGTACTTGTTTAACTGTAGACTGTTTGTTTCGAAATCCAAATTGATGGTCGGGAATCAGCTTTTTATCAAAAATTATTCGTTTCATTCTTTTGTATATTATTTTTTCCCACAATTTAGGTAGTAATGGTAAAAGTAGTACTACGTCTTCACTCGTTCGTTCCTTACAAAGAGAGTTTGTGCCGTTTTTTTTTCTTTTTTCGACATTCCCATCAGTTTTTATGTGTTATGACACATATTTTGAGAAAGTTTCATCAGTACTTAACCCTCAAAGTAAGCTTGCTTGACAAAGGAGCAATTATCCCAGATCGTTTAAGGCTTTACATACGTCTACAATTTTCTAAAAATCGATTTTTTTTTTTTTTAACAGATTGTCGTTCTCTATAGTTTAAGGCTCATTTCTGTGAAAGTTGATTGCAAAAATTCCCCATAGATCGAAAATTACGGTAAAAAATGTGACTGGCCAACATAAATGTGGTGCGCGCAGATAGCTGTTTATTGTTTGAGACACTTAAAACTTGAAACGCGTTTTTCTCGAAATTACTTTTCCCATCACGATCGACATGATAACTCATACAGTTTTTAATATTTTCTAAAGTGATTTTTTTTAAACATTTGAAATCGTTCTCTTTATAGTTGTCTAGCCGGATTTTGGATACTTTGATTTAAAAATTTTATAAAAATAATTAAACTGTAGAATTTATAACATAGAACGCATATTTTTCTTAAACAATTATAAATTGTTAAATTTTCCGAAATTCAAAATTTTGGTTTGACAAACTATAACTGTTATATTATTTTACAAGAATTTTTTTAAATTCTGTAGATCGATAAAAATTTACTGGAGATATAATGCAGACCGTGAAGCAATTTTTTTTTCTTAGTGTTGTGAATCACGTGATTTTTTATATAGTAATTTTTGTAAAAATAAAGTGAAATAAAAGTTCTTATAAAGTTTAAATACCAATAAACAATGTGCACTATTTTTTTTAATAATGTATTGTGTTATCCCTTCTAAAAAATTTTTTTCTTTTAGCGCATTTTTGACGCTACTAGACGTATGTAAGACCTTAATTACCTTATATCAGTGCGAGCCATATGTCATGATACACGGTGAACTAGGGATATTGCTTAGTACTATTATTGTGCTAATTAATATACACATTTGGACATTATGATCACATATATTCCTATAAACTCTGACAATAACAAGTGAATGAAAAGCGATTGGATCTGAAGCCCCACAATATATTTAATAACATGTTAAATATAACATAATTTGATAGGTAAAAAATGGCACATACGACGGAAAATGTTAACTCCTGCATTTCACTTCAATATCCTTAAATATTACTTTATTAACTTAAATGAGGAATCACAAAATCTTGTCGAGTCTCTTAAAAAGGAGGGAGATGGAGGCCCTGTCGTCAAAGATTTACGAACATTTATCAGCAAATACACTCTTAATGCAATATGCCGTAAGCTAAAAAAACTAGTTTCTGTATATGTAATTAGCCATATATCCATTGATTTTAATTGC